TCACCGCATAGCCTTTCCACGTGACGTGAAAACACTGGACGTGCCCATGGGCTTCGTAAGCTCCCCAGGATCAGTGGCCAGCAGGGTGGGTGGAGCTTCTGGCCTGGTCCTCCTGCCTACTGCCTCTCCCTGGGAAGCCACGGGGTTCACCCTGAGTGAGTGCCCAGGAGGGCAGTGGAAAACCGCCCGTCTCAAGTCCTCAGAGCATCCCCCTCAAGCCAGGTGCCAGGACACCTGGCCTGGCCTCTCACACAGTGGGCACCCCCCTCCGACCCAGCCTCCTGCCCAGTGGGCACTACCCCCACCCCCCGACCTCCCGCACGGGGCACTACCCCCCTGGCACCTCGCTTCTTGGCCTGGACCACCATCTCCTCGTACTGCTGCCGGTGCCGCTGGGCCTCCTGGGCCGGCTTTGCAGGGAGGTTGCTAGACAGAAACGAAGGGCTTCCGTCATAGACAGCACGCGGCATCGGAGGCAAAGCCGAGCTTCACTGCATGCAGCGGGGAGATGAGGCTACACTGACAGCCACCAGGCCCAGCTTGCACTCAAAAGCACACACAGAGGTTTCTGTACCAAAAGAAACAGAGCACCATGGCACGCGTGTGCAGGGAGTTGATGGACAGCACACGGACCTCTTTTCCAAAGCAGATGCATGTTTACAGAGACAGGTGCCCTCGACAGGCTGGTGGGCATCACGGAACAATGGTGAGCACCCAACAGTGTATCCCATGCTGCTCACGCTGTGGGCACGACAGCCCCAAGCAGCCCGGCAGGCTTGTATGGAGCACGGCCCAGTCCTGCGGGCTCATCTGCTTTTACACACGCCCGCGGTGGCCTCTTCATCCCACCAAGGCTGAGAAACTCCACGCCTGCCTAAAGCAGTGACCAGACAGGGCTTGCGGGCCCGAGAGCGGTGGGCCGGCCTCTGTGCCACTGTGGCACGTCCCCAGCATCCCAGCTAGCCCGAGCAGTGCTCCAGGCCCCGCCCCTAGCCCCGGTCTCTCCGGGACACCGTCCCAGACACAGAGACTTACGCGGGGCGGTCCTCCAGGATGAGGGCGGTGGTGGAGAGGGGCTCGACGTCCAGGCTCTTCCTCACACTCTGCCTGGGGGAGGGCGGCCTGCTGGGTCGTCCAGCCTGGGCTTCATTTTCCTGGACGAAGACACGGGTGACCAACCGCTGACGGCACTGACGCGTGACCGGGTGGCCGGCCAGCCCGACTCAGGGCCTAGTGTCAGAGGCCCGGGCTGCACAGGTCTTCCCTGGCGGCCTCCCCAGCAGATTTACAGGCCTTCTCCGGTGGCACCTGGCGGGGGGGCGCTCCCACCTCCACCTCTTGGGGAGCCACCAAGGGTGGCCATGTCTGGGGCATGAGGCTGCTCTGAGGCTGAAGGGCTGACGGCCATGACTTCCTGCTACTCAGGAGCAAGGCCCGCCAGTGAACCGCAGCCCGGCCCCCCCTCTGCACTGCTGGGGCTCCCTGAGGGCGGGTCCCATCTTCACAGCCACCCCTGATGCCCACAGACCTGCCACAGGCCTGGCTTTGCTGGGTTAGAGCGCTGCCCTTCTCTGGACCATGCCTACTCTACTTCCTCCTGAGCTGTGCATGTCTAACTTCTGTCCCACCTCTTCAGGCCTCAGAGAGCTTGGAGGCGCTGTGGGGTGGGTGTTGGGCTGCTAACCATAAAGTCAGAGGTTCAAGCTCACCAGGGGTGCTGCAGGAGGAAAAGGAGGCTGGCTGCCCGGTAAGTACAGATTCGGTCTCAGAAACCCTACAGCGCAGTCTACCTGGACCCTCAGGGTCACGGAGAGTCTGAGTGCATGCAAGGGCAGTGGCGTGGCTCCTCCCTCTGTGGCATTTCAGACTTCTTGGTCTAGGAGCCTGGTGGTGCAGTGGTGAAGTAGCGTGTAGGGAAAGCTCCCTGGTTTGCAGGAGGAAAGCGTGGCAGCCACTCCCCCCAAGACGGCAGCCTTGGAGGGTGCCTGGGGGAGCTTGATTCTGTCCTCACGGCCACGAATCAGAATCGACTCAATGGCCACCTTCTGCGGACCAGCATGATGGACCCCAGTCCCTTCACCTGCTACAAGCACCCCACAGAGAGGCCCCTGCAGTTCCAGGCCCCTCTTGCCCGAGAGGGAAACCCAGGCCCAGGCTGGCCAGTCACTAACTCACCAGTCAACCTGGCGACCAGGTTCCAAACTCTTGGGGCCGAGGAACAATCGAATAAGCAGGTGGGCCATGGCCAGCTCTGGCTGGGAGTGTGGGCCTGGGCCTGCAGAGAACCAGCCACAACCACACCCTCTTGGTGCTCTCTGTCAATCAACGACTTTGTGGCACGGAAGGCCCACAAGCTTCCGACTAGTGGGAAAGAGACCCAACCTCCACAGACAACATGGGCTGTGTCTATGCCGAGGTGCAGGGTGGGGCTAGGGGTGTCTCAGCACTCATCATGGGGGCCAGAGTAGTGGGGACAAGAAGCCTGGTTTGTAGGGAGTCTGCCCACTGTGGGTGCAGAGGGCCCTGAAGGCCACACCTTTCTGGCCTATGTCCCCCTGCGCAGCGGTGGGGAGCCTGAGGGGTAACGTCCCCATATGGATGTCGGGGAGGGCTGGGTGCCAGGAGAGACACATCGTGGGCACTGTCTGTCCACAGCGGGCGGGGTGACTTGACTCGCTGGGAAATCCCAGGGCACCCCTCCAAACTCAGGACCCTGAAACCCAGGCCTGCCCGTGACAGCGGAGCAGGGCTGGCCTGATGCCCCACCTTCTTGGCTGTGCTATGTGATGACTACTGGAGAACTATGGGGGGGATCCCCACTCTGAGCCCCCGTTAGTGGGCACGGTCGCGCACAGACTCCCCTCCTGTTTCTTCTCCATGGGGCCCAGGCTTGCAGTGACCCCTAACACCATCCATCCACCACTGTGCTCACCACAGAGCCGCCCCTCCCCCCACCCCCCTCCAGGTTCTGTGGCAGCTTGGCGGCAGTGTGGCACCAGGACCCTAGAAACTGTGGGAGCCACAGATGGAGGGGCCGCTGGTCTCGGTTTCACACCTGGTTACACATGAGCTCTGGATTGGGGGTCTCAACTACTGGAGCCGGACAAGGTCAGTGTCCCTCCCCTGCACAATCTGTGGTGGACAGGTGGACCGGGCAGTGGCAGGGCCCACTGGGAAAGTGAGGGTTCCTCTCTACGGTGGTGGGAGCGGGCCACTGGGATGGTGGGTGTGTTTTTGGGATGAGACCACACCCATGCCATGGCCATGGATCTGGGGTCTAACGAGTTGGAGCCTGCAACAAGCTGGGGGGTGAGGGGCAGGCTGCATGGGGAGCAGAGCTGGCGTGGCTCCATGGAGGGGAATCCGGCTGGTGTGGGACGAGGAGAAGGCGTCCATCAGTGGCTCCCAGGAGTCGGCAGGAGTGCCTCTGGCTTCCAGGGAAGCTTTAAAGGAGGAGGAGCGGCCGAACTAGCCCTGCCTTCATCCTGTCCTGTGACAGACCGCTGAGGGCAGGTCTCCGGGCTGTGCAGGTGCACCACAGACAGGCCATCCCGTGGCACCAACTCAGCGAGCAGGCTCGAGGCCTGGACCAGAGCACCTGCATCTGCATAGGTCTGGGGAGCCAGATGGGGTAGGGTCATGATGGGTGCCACGGTGGGTGCACTGGGAGGCATGGGAGAGGTATGTGACGTGTGGGGAGGCGTGGAGGGGATATGAGCCAGGCATGCCCAGAAGGAATGTGTGGAGGGATGGGAGGGCAGGCTTGTGGGTGACTCATAGAGAGATGGGGGTGGGGTGGAGAATGCGGCCAGAGTGGGGCATGTGGGGTGCTGGGCTGAATCTGGCCCTCCCCACCCTCATAAGCCCAGCGTGACCTTGGGCGCCTCCCCAACCCCAGGCTTGTTTCCTGGGTCATGTGAGCACCACAGGCCGAGGATGCCCAGCTGCATCAAATGCCTGGTGGTGAAGGGGCCCAGGTACAGGGCAGCAGCTTGAGTCCCTGACTGGTGCAGAGGGCTGAGGGCCGTGGGGAGGGGTGGTGGTGGGCCTCTGGAATGCCTACCAAGTCTCCTTCACTCCCCAGTGGGGTCCTTCCGCAGCGACTTTAAGTCACTGGCGGCCGCTGCTCAGGCAACCCCAGGAGGTCACTCTTGGAGCTGACCCCAGCCTGGAGGCCCAGGGCGCAGGGGCACAGTGCGGCCTGCGGGCAGAGTTCCCGGGGCACTGGTGATGGGAATGCGGCGGAAGGCGGCACCGAGCCCAGGAGACAGTGGGGGCGGGAGGGCCGCGCCGCCTCGGCACACCTGTACACGCGCGCACACCCCCTCGCTCCCAGCCCCCGGGCGGCGGCAGGGCGCGGGCCCGACTCACCATGAACGCGTGGGGCTCAGGGTCGCGCGGTCCGCGGCGCCATGCCTCCCGGACGACCCCGCCCCCGCCCTGCGCCGCCTGCTGGGCTGACCGGCGAGGGACCGACCGCGCGACCCGGACCTGGATGTCCACCGACGGTCCGCCAGGCAGCAGCGGCGGGGAGGGGCCAGGCCGCTTAATCGTGCGCAGACACTGCCGATGCGCAGCGATCGGTTCGCTCTGCCTCTGCTGCTCAGGCCTGGTTCGCCAGGACCCCGGCCTGAGCAGGGAGACCCCGGCTCCCCGAGTGTCTCCTTTGGTCCCCCACCCGGCACAGTCCTCACAGGTAACAGGCTCAGCGCCCGGTGGAAGCTGCACAGACCTGGAGCCGCCGGCACCCCAAGGGCAGACTGCGTGGGGCGCAGGGTGACCTGCGGCGAGGTCGGGTTTTATGAAGTAAAACAAACATCGCCCATTGAGTCGATGCGACTCTCAGCAACCACTGGGCAGTGCTTCCCGAAGTGGGCGGCACCCGACTCTGGGGGCTGCCACGGCAGACGGACGGAAGAAGGACCACAGCGTGACTCTCTTAATTGCCGGGGAGGAAAGACTGTTTCTGAAAAGGACAGTAAGGCCAAGTTCGTTTGGGAGCCTGTGCTGCGGGGGGTGAGGGGAGGTGGGGGGGTTGGTTCTGCTCCGAAAGCCTCTTTTTCCAGGGCAGCAGCTGGTGGGTTTGAACCACCTATTAACATTAACAGCCATCGCCAGCGGGTCCCCAGGCCTCCTAGATAAGGAAGAAACTGGGAACTATAATGCTAATTCACTGCCATTTGATACCCGGAACGCACAGAGGCCCTACAGGGCAGAGCAAGCTCTGTGTAGGTCGAGTGGTGGTCTTGTCTTGCTCCCGCAGCGCGGCAGGAGGGTTTGAACTTCAGACCTTGTGGTTAGCAGCCCGATTTGTAACTCAAGACCCGGCCACGGCTCCTTACACTCACTGCCATCGAACTGACTCCGACTGGAAACGAGGGCACTGAGGACTTCTCAAAGGAGTCAGGTAGGACCGAGGCTGCTCGCCATGGAGCCACCCCTCTCCCAGCGACCCCCAGTGCAGAGGAGGCCTCCCTGTCCCAAGCACCCCTCCCCCACTCCTCTGGGGGAAGGGTTTGAACCCACTGCCATTCCCCACCCTTACTGACGTTTCTGCATTCTACTGCGGCCAGTAGGCTAACTATAGATAGAACATAGCATCAGGGTCCCCACAGGGACCTCCTCTGAGAGGAGCCAGATTGGTGGCTTGGGGGGAAGGGGTATCAGGCCAGGTTGTGTGCACCAGGCCCGCCAGCTGCTTTTCTGGGAAACCACCACCAACCCAGGCTTCTTCACCCAGAACCCCAGGGAGATCCACCTGCTGCTTGGACAGTGGTGGGGGTGGGGGTGGGGCTAGAAGTAGCCCAGGACCCAGCTAGGTGGTCTGGTCCCCACCCTAAAGAATAGACCAATGTCATGGAGAGCCATGTCACCGCAACATGGAAACAGCCCTGTGCCACACGTGGGAGAATGGAGAAACTACGGTGCACGCACATTGCTCAGGAAAAGCGATGACGCTGTGAAAGGTGCCCTCTCCCCCAACGCACACACACTTGGGAGGCCAGTGTTGGAATGTGGGCAGCAAGGGGGCAGCTGAAGAGACACTGATTGACCACGAGGTGCCAAAGGCACCAAGCACAGAGGTCAATGTGCATGACTATTTATAGGAAACCTGTTAAAAAGGCAAATAACTAGAGGTAGAAAACAAACTAGT